ACACACACACACACACACACACAGAGGGACACACAGTGTACACCCCTTCCACTTCCCTTTTCACACTTTTCCTTCAAATATTTTCTAGGCTTGCCTTCTTACAATAGAATATCATTAGCTGTATCAGCAATCATTTAAAATCCCTTGTTTCCATAATGTCAGCTTACACTAGTGTCAATTTATGGATACAGTAATATTAGCCAACATTCACGAAGCACTTCAGTGTTTTCTATGTGCCAGACACTGTTCTAAGCACTTTATGTACATTAACTCATTAAATCTTCACAAAAGCCCAGTGAGGTAGGTAGTAGTATAATATTTATCTTACATAAGAGGACTGTGATGCACAGAAGTCTGTGACCAGTAACCAAGTCAATAAGAGGCAGAGACAGAATTTAAATTCAGGCAAACTGACCCTTAATGTAAGAATTGTGTAAATACTCTTTTCATGGACTTATTAAGTTAGTGTCTAAAGTGTTCCAAGGTACCAACGAAATTCAAAGGAAATAAATAGGCTGAGCATTAAACCTGCAAGGCCAATTATGAAATATTCATCCCCCAACACACCCTGGAGCGCCATACTACACCAAGTGGGTAACATCTGATAAAGATGAAGGGCCTGTTGTATTGTTTGAGTTCTGATACAAGCAGGTGGTATTTTATGGTAATTAAGAGAAAAAATTTAGAACACGGACTCTCTCACAATGTAATTCTATGACAATCTCTGTTTCTCATTAGAGAAACAAAAATAATATCTATATAATAGGTTATTTTAAGAATTGAATGAGATTACTCAAGTACTTGGCACTGTGTTTGGTCCTTAGTAAGTTTTTAAGAAATATTAGTTATTTTTAATATAGGATATAGAAATAGAAAGCAAAATATTATGAAAAGACCAGTGAATCAGGATGCAAGTGTGACAGAGATGATATGAGAACAAAAAACCTTATGTCCTTGGGCAAACTGTTTTCCCTTTTACAGCCACGTTTAGAGCTGTGGGGTCCCACGGAGCCCAAGCTCACTGTTCCAAGACCTCTGAGTCTGGAAAACAGCCTCAAGTATGTGATGGCATCAGACATCATAGGCTGTCCATATCTGACCTGGCCATAGCACATAAAGGGCCACATACTCTCATAATACCTATATTCATACATGTGGCCATTTATATTCTGTGGCCATTGTACGGTAAGCAAATGCACGGAGGAGGGAACACTGGAGTAGGAATTTAGCCCAAGCTCTGCCATTACATTGGAACGCCAGAGATTTTTTTCTTGATCTTCCCTTTCACATAAGTAAAATCTGAGATTTGGGCTGGATGTTCTTTAAGGTATATTATAGGTGTGTAATTCTGTAATTAAGACATCTCCCAAAGCTTTTTGCATATAGTAGGTGTTGATCAGTGTATAAAGCATGGAAATAAAAATGTTAACATCCTAAAATCCTTGGAAAATGTGGTAGTAGAAGTAGTAACATAATATTTTTTTAAGTACCTAACTGGTATTTCTGCTATCTAGTATGTAATATGCTCTTCTGGCTGGAAAAAATTAATAGTAATACATTTGTTTAAAGATGTATTTAGAAAAATATAAGTAGCCAATAAACAAGTAATATTACAATGGCTGTAAGCAGAAATAGCTGATCAATTCAAAGAAAAAAGTATTAAAATAACAGGTAATATGCCAAAAAATTGTAGACTTTGTTTTTTGTAGATTTCTTTTTTGGGAACTGCCCAATCAATAGATTATAGAACTGATTTGTTTGTGTGGTTTGTCATGGCCACAGATATTTTGAAAATACAATGGCATCCACAAGCTTGCTCTTCAGGAAATGAAAATATATACACACAGTAAATTTTGTTCCATAGACTAATGGAACCATTTATCTCAAATTAAAAATAACTATGCTAGAGGTTTTCCCATATCTCTACTGAGCAAGGATTTGCCCTTGATATCAGAGATGTAAACTAGCATTAATATGTGAGGTATAACCCAGTGTATACTAGAGGAGACTCAGAAATCTTTTCCATATTGCTGCACCAAGATTTCTTTCCAGCCCTGACTTACACTGGAAATGCAGTTCTGTACCAAAGACCAGCTGATCTCCAACTGAGGAACTCACAGGCTAATCTCTAATATTTTCCAAAACTCTCTTTCTAGGAAGGTATTCCCACTTTCCTCATTAAATATTTAGTACTACAAAAGTAATGTTTTAAGTATTAAATCAAGTATTAAAAGCATATAAAGTACCTCAATAAATGGCACCTATTATAGTTACTATGGGGTCTTGATTCAATGTGAAAAAATAATCATTGTTTTGTCAAGAATATTATAACAATTATCTATTGCTACACAACAAATCACCTTTAATTTAATGGCTTAAAACAAAAACCGTCATTTATTGGCCCACAGTTGTGCAGTTTGTACAGGCTCAGCAGGTGTGATCTACTTCTGCTCTGTATGCTGGCTGAGTGGCTCTGCTGGGATCCACAATGACTTCAGTTACAGCTCTGATGTTTCAGTGGGGTGGCTACAGAGATTCCTCTCTCTGTCTTTGCCTTTGTCTCTCTTTCCATAATCTCTCAACCAGCTCTGCCAGACTCTTATGGCTTAGACCTAAAATCGGTATGTCCTCACATCCACTGTTCTGATGGCCACATGACATGACTGGCTCAGGGTTGAGGGCAGGAAGGGGGCATGAGCACCTCTTTAGGAGAGATGTGACATGCACGAGAGTGATGGAGAACTTTTTGATGTCAAGTTCTGTAAATAATACTTGAAAAACATGCTGCTTCCTTTGAAATATAATTGTAAGATTGATTAGGAGTGGACATAATATGGAGGGTAACTGGAAGTAAGGTCTGAGAAATGACTTATAGAAAACCTGGACCTGAATGGCTGAAACTAACAAATCTGATGAGCGACATGGTACCAAGTCATTTAACTTGTTTTCTCATTAAGTATGAAGATGAGATCTTTAAGAAAAGTCACTATAATAATTTATGGTGGTAGTGATAAATAGGGTAATCTGGGGGTATGAAAGAGATTATATTTCAGATTCTATCCCTAAATTTGCAAACTTGCACATCAAAAAATTTCCACATAATGAAAGTTTCAGGAATAAGTCAGTAAGTGCCTATTATAGCCAATTTAGTCCATGACTATTATAATTATGGGCTGTTTTTTATTATTGTTCTGTAGTTACCACATGTGTATTCAACTAAAGTGAAGGTGGCAGAGGTTATGTTTCTAATCTCAGATGCTTACCTAAGTATAATAACAATAGCTAACATTAATGGGACATGTAAGTGTGTGTGTCAGACATATGCATCATCTCAATAAATGATGAAACTGAATACATTTGAATTTCAGTTTGTATTGAAATTTTGTGGTGAAGAAATTGATGCCCAAAGCAGAGAAGGTACCAAAGATTCTATCTCAAGTATGTGCTACCCTTCATGACTTGGCGTTATGAAACTAGTGCCTCCATCAGAGTGCAGACTGGGTGAAATGATCAAATAAGTAAGTCAGGTGAGAAATGACAAAGGGCCTTGCATTAGGTAGCAGTTACCTAATGCTTGACCTTTGGTGTCTTTCCTAATACTCTGAAGTATTTAATGAGACTTGGTAACAAACTGGCAAGTCTGCCTCTGACAACTTTGGCAAGGTGATACTGAATTTAAGAGGAATTATGTCTTCCATGTATTATTAATTATATTTAAAAGTCCTGACCAAACATTCAATTTGTCTGCTGGATTCAGGTCAACCTATCTGTGTCTATGTCTGAATATCCTGATGAATGCCGTACAGCTGATGCCTTCCTTCCTTTACTGTGCTCAATCTTTACCCATCTCTTGGGACGCAAGGAACCAAACGCGACATGTCCTATTCTTTTCTAAGGAAGAATTGAAAGGAAACATAGCGGCTTAAGTATACAACAAAAGAAAGCTAAAAAGGAGTTCAAAGTTCCCTTCCCTCTGGCTGCATGACAAATGATTTGATAGGATCAAATCAGGTAACTGGACACAGAAAACTATAAAAGTTTACAATCAGAAACCAAGGTCACTAAATTGCACATAAGAAGCTTTTCCACCAAATTCCAGTAACATACTCCTTCAGTGGGTATTATTATCATGATTTTAGAAATAAGAGGAAAGGTAGATAGGAAGAAAAAAGAGGGAGAAAAAAACTAGAAAAAAAGAGAAATGGAGAGAGAGAGATTAACATGCATAAGATCACATACCTAAAAAGGAGGGGAAAGGTAACTCAGGTTATCTGACCCCATTGCTATTGTTACTTTCATCCAAATGACTACTGAAAGAACAGCCCTGACCTAGAATCCCAATCCAAGATATGTGAGATACCCTCCCCCTTCCCTAATGTGTGGCTGTGGTGAGCATTTTCTGAGCCTACTCCAAGACAGAATTTTGACCATATTTCCAGATGTAAAGGAAGATAATGGAAGACAATTCTAAAGGTGGGAGAATTCCCATCGTTAAAGGAGAAATTAAATGTTCATTTAAGAAAATAGGAGGATTCAAAGCAATTATTCAAAGGACCTTTGGAATGATTTGGAAACTAAAGAGAGAGAACACTGCCTTAATGCAACCAAGAAATTCTTCAACTAACCTGCGGAGGTAGTCTCTGAGACCACAGAGCATAGGCTTCATGAGACTTTATTGTCTCACTGCAGTATCCTAAAGCACAAGGCACTCACATCATACTATTTATGTCTTCTGTGTGCCAGGTGCTAGTATACTAAAAACCATAGGTAAGACAGATGATGACATTAAGTATGTAAAAAGCATTGTTTGGGCAAATTGCAAATTCAGCTATTGTGGTCCATTTGATATTTGGGAATTTACGGCACTGAGTTCTGACATGAATATCTGGATGTGAAAACAACTTGCATCAAATTTACCCTTTGATCAACATATGGTTGAGCAAATGTAGCAAAATATTAATTGAAGAATCTTGATGGCATGTATATGGGTTTTCACTGTACAGTTCTTTCAATTTGTATTTTAAAACCCTTCATGATGAAATTTTGGTAGAAATTATCTGATCTTTAAATAGAAGTATATTATATAGGATATATATATATTATATAGGATATATATTATATATGCATAATCCAAGGTTCTGGCTCACTAAGCCTCTTTTGACATTTATATGAATCCCAGTCAGTACAGAGAATGTTTATGTAGGAGTAAAAAAATGTTTCCTGCTTACTAGAGAAAAATTTAAAACCAGTCCTTTTTGATGTCTTGAAATTGTTGGCTTTGTTAAAAGAAATTATTTTTCATTTTCAAAATTTCTCTTCTAAATAAGCTAAAGTGAAAATTGAACACAATCCAGAAACATTAAATCTGAGGATTTTAGAATTGGAAAGGATTGTTAAGAATCATCTAGCTCACCTCCCTTCCCAAAACTGAAATTTTCTTTAGAAGTCATAAATGTTTATCCTGCATCTCCATCTGGATCTGCTCAGATAAAATAATAACTTCCTTTTCCATGTCAATGCCCTTCAGTGATGAACTCAGCGGCAACATCAGTCTCAAGTCAGCCTTTATTCAAGCTTATATTTCCGCCTGCCATAAACCAACCTCATGCCATATGGCCTCTAGACCTCACTTATCAAGGTCATCTTCTTTTGGACAAGATTCCATTAATTCAAGTTTCTCTTATATAAGGCAACCAGTCTTGAATACAACATTCCAGTGTTTTATAATATTGAGTTAATGACAGACTAAGAGCCCAACGTTATTTTCACAGCAGTTTCTGTTTGGCATAATAGCTTGAAGCATGAGGGCCAATCAGTGGTGTAATGTTGTTTTCCAACGTGAGATCTATTGTACCTTGTTACCTCATAAAAATACGTTACCTATCATCATTCCATACTAGATTCATTCATCACTTACTAATGACCAACACTCAATGCATTTTTACTTGCTTTTAAAATATAATTTGAGGTAAATAATTGGCACATAATTGATTTGCTGGAAAATGTCATGGGAATCTTATTGTGAATATAAAAATTTACTGGGTCAGTAACAGTACTGACTGAAGATAACTCATCTATCAACAATAAAAAAGTAAACATTGAATTTACCACTTTCCCAGATGGGTTTCACCTTTTTTTCTTTTTTTTCTGTGAGGAAGATATCTGATAGAAGCATATTAAAGTCTGGTTATTATGGGAGTTGGGGTGTGAAGCTAATTTTAAAAATGACAATCCACTCAAGAAGCAACACCTTCCAGTTTGTGAATGTTACTCTGTAATTTTTTAACAAAGTGACAATGTGTAGCAATTAGGGTGGAGGATTTTTCAAATATATAACATGGTGGTGATCAGCATGGTTTATTCAGAAAGCATCTACTGAAGAGTTATCCTTAGAACCATCCAACAACCAAGTCTGAAACAACTGACTCTAATATGGGGGCTTCCATTTTCCTTCCCTTGATGTTCTTGGCCATATTCTCAGGTAAGAAAAGTCACATTCAGTGACTTTCCTTTCAACTCTCAAAGTAAAGAAGTAGAAATGTTGAGTGACTTAGTAATACTTTGTCAGAAATTTTTTAAATGGGAAATATCTGCCACATAGAAAGATGGAAGAAGTAATTTCAGATGACATAAATATAGACAAGAGGCATAAAACCAGTAACTGGGTGATATAACAATGAATAGTTTGGTGTGGCTTAGGAGAAGCAGGGGAAAGGGAAGAGGGAAAGCAAAACTTTACAGTAGAAAGAAAACTTGTCTAAAAGGATTATGAAATCTGAATATTCAGGTTCATCTACCTTTAAGGATATGGTTTTTGCATAATCATCTAGGACTGTATGGTCATATCGAAAGGGGTTCAAATCCTGGGTTTACAATTTTCTATTTATGTGCTCTTGGAAAATATAACTTACTTTAGCCTGAGTTTTCTCATTTTTTAAAATAGAAATAGATTGTTACAGGACTCATGTGTACATTAGCACCAGCTGCCATTACTTGAATTCTTCAGTGCCTATCACTCAACATACTTTTCTGTATTCCTTACCTTAGTACCATTAGGTTACCTGTTTTTGATATAGAAATTTTCAGCTGGTGATGTAGATTTCTCAAGATAAATGGCACAAATAGTATATGTTTTTCAATGTAAGATTACAATAAATGAAACAGAATCCAACTTATCTCCAAATTACGACCTCCTACTTGACAATTTTTTTCTTACATCTAGTGAAAGGAAATACCGAAAGTAAAGTGCCTATGACCTTTAGCTTCTTGTAGTTAGAACACAAGAAATAGTGGTTCTCTTTTCATTGAAAACATCATAGTTGTTTCAGATTGTTAAATGTAGGTGTGATCAGAACCCTTCTGCTGGGAAATATCAATCTGTAGTGATATCAAAAATGGATTATGTATGAGAAAAGTTGTACAGAGATGCCACTTAGGGAGCTGTTGAAGTAACAGAGTTAAGAAATAAGAATATAGAGCTAAGTGATGGGATAGAAAAGGGAGGAGAAAAGAATATATATATTAAAACCATACTCTCTCTGGTGGTTATTATATACATATATGTATATATATACATATATGTATATAATATATATATATTAGAGAAAAAATAGCATGCAGATAATATCCCTTACTAGGACATGTGTGTTCCATGATGGCAGGTACCACATCCCTTATGTACTTCAGTGTCTTGCTAAATGGCATTTAGTATGTATTCAGCAGGTATTTGTTGTTGGAAGAAAGTATATTAATACTAGATGTAGTGGTTATATTGATCTGGAGGGTGAAGAAGAGATAATGTCTATTACAATAAAGCAAGGCCCAGCCTGTATTTAGAGTTTGTAAAAATCAGAAGAGAAAAATATACTACAAAATTGAAGATAATTATTTTATAAAAATTTAACTTAAAAAATAGATGATCAAAACCACATTCTGATATCTTAGTTATTTTTTTACCTAAGAATTCCACCCCTAATTTTTATCTTACAAATGTATACATATGAGAAATAATGTATTATTAGGATTTTTATGAAATCACTATAATAGTAGAAGAGGAAATAAACTAGCTGCTCATTCCTTGAAACTGGTTAAATAAATTATAGTAAACTTAACAACTGAGATAGTAAACAGCCAATTAGGGAAAATAATTAAGGTGCTTTATATGTATTGACATTGAGATATCCTCATTGCACTGTCAAAGGAGAAAATAAAGAATAAAACAGTGTATACAGTGTGCTACCAGTTGTGTGGAAAGACATTCAAATATATTTAAAAATACATTATCGATAATGTATTTTGCATGAAAAACCTGGTACATATAATTGGGTTCTAGGTAGGGAGAGAGATGGAGGGTATTGGGAAGAGAAAGCTATTTTAAACTGTTTACCCTTTTCATCTTTAGGATTTGATTCAATTTTCTTGTAAACATACTAAAAAACTAAAAACAATTAACAACTAAAAAGATCACCAATCTGTTTTTTCCCCCCATTTTATCTATTTCTCTATTTTAATTGATGTCTACTTGAAGTTAGTTCTTGTTAAGAGCGATGTTTGGTTCTTAGAAATCATGCCATGTACTCAATTCTCAGCTGAAAATAAAATATTTCTTTCCTTACCCATTTTTCTGACTATAGCCTATACTTCTTATGGGTCACCTCCTTGAGAAAGGAGAAATGATACTCACTCTCTGCTATCTTGACTTCTGGTCTATTGTCTGATTTACTTCTTACATTGTAGCATTGATTATACTGTTTGTTTGTTTGCACCCACTGTTGGATTCCCAGTTTCTTGAGGGCAGAACCATAAGTACCTTATAATTGTCTCTCTCGATCTTACTATAGTTCTGGCATAGTAATAGACTTTAAATTTGTTGTAATGTTTTTGGTAAATTTGAATGAATGCTTGGATTACATCCGCAGCCCCTGCTCCATGCTCTATCACAGTTTAGTAAGCCAGGTTACTAATCTAAACTTCTGTGCCTGGGCTAGAACCCTAACCACCAACAAGGTAGGTTTCCATAGGATGCTCAATGGATGGATTTAACTTTAGTTAAATTTATTTGAAGGCACAAGTGTGTACACTCACTGGACTGTAAAGCAGGACAATTGTAAATGCAAGTGGAACCCTAGGTATAGATTTGGAACCATTCATATTGAAATAATTTAAGATTGTATAAACTGATAAAATTACCAAGGAACCTTGTGAAAGTGAGCCTGACTGAATAAAACTTTTGAGGAAACCCCAACTTAAGAAGTGAGGGAAGAAAGAGAAATCATCAAATGGAAAAGGTAAGAAGGCCAAAAAGAAACATTTGTACCAAACTGAGAACAAGAAGCATAATACCCAGTGGATACCATTGTATTCAGTGGCCCCAAAGCCACTCCATTTTCTTATTCATTGTTTTCTTGATGTTTCTCATTTTGGAATATATGAATTGTATATATACATATTATATATATATATATATATATATAATATATATATATTATATGTGTGTGTGTGTGTGTGTGTGTGTGTGTAGTGATGGATGGACTTCCAAAATAAACTTGAGAAGCAGTAGAAAAGATGAGTTATGAAATGTAGGTTTTAAGAAAGTCCGATAATATCTATCATCTCCTTGAGGAGTCTGATCACTAAAGAAAGGAACAAATAACCAACCACCAGAGAGGGTATGGTTGACTGATTGATGCTAGGGCCTTTATGGGACATGGTGGACCTAAAGCTGATTGAAAAAGAATGTTCTGAAGAAGGGAAACCACTGCCTTTAGGACAGGGGCAAGGGAGAAGAACCTGGCCACAGAAAGCATAGAGACGGAGAAGAGAGTACAAAGGGGAGCTCAGCCTGACAGCTTTTGTGTCTGGAATGTTTATGATGGCATCTTCTGTAGGGTAAGGCTGGACATACTGGAAAGGGTTCTGTGATGTGGAGAAGGTTTTAATAGGCATTACACAGCACATGCTTGATTCATCAGGGAATCATTAAAAGGAATTTGGGATAGTATGAAGGCCCAGTTCAAATAATTTAGATTCCAATTTAGAAATAGGACAAGCCTGCTTGATCCCATGATTTTTGGAAACCATGTAACATGGTCAAGAAAAAAAATGAAGGGACCAAAATATTCAGGTTATGAGATGTAATGGGAAGATTCTGCCTTGAGGTTTGGTGAAAAAAATCAAAGAGGCATTAAATACATACTATATTGTGGGAATGAATGTTATTGATTTAAATTCTTTAAGCTGAATAACTTCATTTTTACTTTTGTGTTTATGGTATATTCCAGTATCTTCAACCCAACCTTTGAAAACAAGTGTTTTTAAACAAGAAGGTCCAGAACCTGCACTTATTCTAGAGGGAACAAACGAAGCTAATATTCAAAGGGGACAAAAGGAATCGACTAAGCCGGGAGGCAGCAACATGCAAGGACAACCAGGGCATCCTAACCAGCCAGGAGAACCAGGGGATTCCAATCAGCCTGGGAGTCTGCAAGGGAATTCAGGAGGATCTAATGAGGAAGGGAATCCAGAGGCTTCTAATGAGCAAGGGAAGCCAGGATCTTCTGGACACAAAGGAAAACCTGGATCTTCTGGCCAGCAAGGGAAGCCAGGATCTTCTGGCCACCAAGGAAAACCAGGATCTTCTGGCCAGCAAGGAAAACCAGGATCTTCTGGCCAGCAAGGGAAGCCAGGATCTTCTGGCCACCAAGGAAAACCAGGATCTTCTGGCCAGCAAGGAAAACCAGGATCTTCTGGCCAGCAAGGGAAGCCAGGATCTTCTGGCCACCAAGGAAAACCAGGATCTTCTGGCCAGCAAGGGCAGCCAGAATCTTCTGGCCAGCAAGGGAAACCAGGATCTTTTGGCCACCAAGGAAAACCAGGATCTTCTGGCCAGCAAGGAAAACCAGGATCTTCTGGCCAGCAAGGGAAGCCAGGATCTTTTGGCCACCAAGGAAAACCAGGATCTTCTGGCCAGCAAGGAAAACCAGGATCTTCTGGCCAGCAAGGGAAACCAGGATCTTTTGGCCACCAAGGAAAACCAGGATCTTCTGGCCAGCAAGGAAAACCAGGATCTTCTGGCCAGCAAGGGAAACCAGGATCTTTTGGCCACCAAGGAAAACCAGGATCTTCTGGCCAGCAAGGAAAACCAGGATCTTCTGGCCAGCAAGGGAAGCCAGGATCTTTTGGCCAGCAAGGGAAACCAGGATCTTCTGGCCAGCAAGGAAAACCAGGATCTTCTGGCCAGCAAGGAAAACCAGGATCTTCTGGCCAGCAAGGGAAGCCAGGATCTTTTGGCCAGCAAGGGAAACCAGGATCTTCTGGCCAGCAAGGAAAACCAGGATCTTCTGGCCAGCAAGGAAAACCAGGATCTTCTGGCCAGCAAGGAAAACCAGGATCTTCTGGCCAGCAAGGAAAACCAGGATCTTCTTGCCAGCAAGGAAAACCTGGATCTTCTTGCCAGCAAGGGAAGCCAGGATCTTCTGGCCACCAAGGGAAGCCAGGATCTTCTGGCCACCAAGGAAAACCAGGACTGTCTAGGCAACAACAGAGATCAAGACCTTTTTACACTCAACAAGAAAGAAAAAGTGTAGACAACCTTTTGAATCACAATCTAAAAGAGATTCAGGTTAGTGTTAATTTCTTCTTTTTCCCTCAGTAACTTACCTCAGCCATTATATTTTTCAAGACTTGAAATAGTTAACAGAAACACTGAACTAATGATAAACACTAATGACACTAATTCCATGAAATGAGAAAGAATTTAGGGATGATTGTTTTTGTATACACCTATGATTATTAAGGAGTAGCAAGCATGCCCTTCCATTTCATCTCTCATTGCCTTCTGTTTTTCACTCAAGCCTTTCTACCTATACTGAACTAGCTCAGATCCTTATTAACTGAGCCCATATCTCCACCAAATTTAACTTTCATGCCCATCTCCATCCCATCTATGATCTACAAACCATTTAAGTGCTACTTGTAAGCACAAATCTAATGTATTTTCCCCTGTTGAAAAATTTTCAGTAATGTCACACTACCTAGAAGATAAAATCCAAATTCCTAAGCATGGCATTTAAAAATTTTCATGATTAAACCATGTCCATGATTGGACATGACTGGATATTTCATGTCACTCTCACTCAGACATCATCCACGTTGTACAGAATCCTTTGATTTTCCATGAATTAGTATTGGAAAATCTAAAGACATCCTTTAACATAGACTGTGTCATATCGCTCTGTAATTGATTTGTTTATTCAATTGTATCATGAGCTCCTTAAAGAAAGTGGCATTTCTTTTCAAATGATATCCCCAGATCTTAGAACAAGGCAGGTATATAATAGATTCTCATGAGCTATTTGTCAGATGAGTGAACAAGAGATATTCGGAAGTCATCACTGCACACACGTGCACATCCGTGGCTCATCTCTTCCCTTTTCAGTCCTGCTGGGCACTGCCTCCCTAGCTGGTCTTTCTCCCAACCACCAGTCTCCTAAATCCATTTAACAATAACCCTAGACACTACACTTAACACATCCAACACAGTTTTCAAGAACACTTCCTACATCACATTATCTTAACAGAAACTGAGTTTTTAAACTCATAACTTATCATTCCTCAATACCCATTCAAATGAAATATGCCTGTCTCTCCTAGTCTATGTCTAGGCTGGCATGAAGCAGTAATCTCCCAGGGACATTCATATCATCCACACCTTAATGTCACCACCAGCAGGTTTCTGAGTGTTTAGATTGTCACTTAAAATTTCTCAGTTGTATATTTTTTACTGAAACAGGGATGCTAAGCCTGTCCATTTCACAGAGTATGTGTGAGTGAAAGTAATGGATTAGTATGAAAAGCATGGTTGCCTAGAACCAATGGAAAAGACCAAGAGACCTGTTCATCTTCCTCGGTTGTGAGAACACTGAGCCTTCTGTTGAAGTTCCTCTCCCTTCCATGTAGTGTCTCTGTCCTCATCCGCTAGTCAAAGCTTCTTTATGTTCACAGGCTTTTGTCATTCTATAACTTGATTCTGAGAAAATGCTTCAAGTACTACTCAACTGAACTCTGCAGAATTCCACCTCCTGATTCATTTTCTTTCATGGGATATAAAATAAGAAAGGCTAAAAAAATATGGCCATTTGTGTTTTGTATTTGTATATGTACAAATTATTTCCTTAATTATTGCTTCCTCAGGTAAGGAAAGGCTTGTCTACAAAGAATTAAAGTGGCAGCGGTCTGGCATGTAATAAGAGCAGGGGCTCCAGAGTCACATAACTCAGGGTTTGGATCCCAGCATGGGTATTTAATCCTCATATTGTTGTGGGCTTGTCACTGAAATACCTTGTGTGCCTGAGACTTTACAATAGGGCACAATATACTTTCCTTTCAATATTGTTGCATGGATTAAATAAAAATACAAAGGACCACAAAATGATTGATTTAGCACAATGCTTAATCAATAATTAATTTTATTATAATATCAGAATTAAACTAAGTTCCCTATACTCACCTAATGGTCTTAAACATTACTGTAGACTGGCAGTACCAGCAACGAGAATCCAACTGGACAAACAAACTGTCAATCTGCCTACCAACCCATCTGTGGCTCTGATGGGAAGGCCTGTGGTGACCACTGCCTCTTTAATGAGGCAAAAAGTTAGGATGTTATGTTTCATTGTATCAGGAAGTGCTATTCTTATCCAGAGGGAGTAATAGAACATATTTCTGTGTCTCTAGTTTTCTCTCAAATGTGCCTTTGGTGTTTGTCCAAAGGAAACGTAAGAGGATATTTAGCACTTGAATAGTAAACTCATTTTCTGAGAAAATGTGATACATTCAGCTTTTAAGTAGGAATAAATGTATTATTGAGTCATTCATCTGCCAGTATTTATTAAACACCCACTATGTGACAGGAATTGCTCTAAGCACTAGAGGTAAGGTAGTGAGCAAAACAAACCGAATCTCCTGCCACCTGCTTCCATGGAGCTGTCATTTTGCAGAAGACAGCAAACAATCAAAATATATCAGAGAATGAAGAGCATTATGAATCCCACAGATTACTTAGTGTTGACCACTAAAATATATTTTAAACTTGAATAACAATATTAAAGGTTGGATCTGATGAGCCATTCAAACAACTCTATATATAAATAATAAAATGATAAGAAGGCTTCTTAAAATTAGATCACATGGCAAAAAAAGAGATACCTCAGTTTTCAAAATTAATGAATGTTTATCTATGAGGGTAGGAATAAAGTGAAAATTATACCTTTTTCATTTTTAATAGTTGCAAAATTTATTGAGTGCTTGGTGGATCATTATTGCAGTAATAAATGTTAAGGTAAGTGTCCCCTATGGTCTAAAAGTTAGACTTGGAAGGGACACTGACCACCCATTCTCTCATTTTGTAGATAAGGTGCAAGGGCAAGAAATCTGTATAATGTGCATGAATTCTCAGAGTAGTCAAGGTGACCCAGGCGAGCCAGAGCTGAAGCCTGCCTTTTCTCATGTGATTATTAAATAATCACATTGTCTCTCTATGGTGGTGATACAATTACTTGACCCTTGGCTTTTCTCATTATCTTCTTTTCAGGTTGAGTAATGGAAAACTGAATATGAACCATGAAGGGAAATGCTAAATATTTAGAGGAACCAAATTACTTGGAACCTCAAAATCTACTTTCAAGTCTTCTTAACAATGGATTTCCCTGGGAGTTTCACTGAGGTCAGCATGAGTTCTTTAGGTATGATGGATCCTGCATTATTTTCAAGTTTGTTCCACTGCTAATAAAGTCAGGTCCAGACTTGCTTCTGATTTCTGGGAGATTTATTTTCTAGATTTTTCCAAACCTTGTGTCTATAATCCATCTGTGCCCAACACACCAAAATGGGTACTACTTCAGGACCTACAACAGCAATTTGTAAACCCTCATAGATGTAAGAGTGTCAGGATTGCTTGTCAAACATAAAGATTTCCACTTCAGAAATATTGAAATTGTAGGTCTCTGATAGAGTTAAAAAAACTGCAGCTTTAAACCACATTTTAGGTGTTTCTAATGAAGGTGGTCTCTGGACATTTGACATGAAACTGATTTATGATCTTTTAAGGATGTATTGATGTGCTTCAGAGGATCCATGTGTTAGGCAGAAAGACAGAAGAAATGAGCGGGATGAAAAGGAGAAAGGGCCCCCCAAAGATGACTCAGGGAGTTGATCAAATAGAACCAGAAAACCAGAAATGACTCAAAGAGTTAATCAGATAAAGCCACAGGGTCCAAGAGTGACTCAGGAAATGTCCTGGGTCCCCCCAGATAAGAAACATCAGAGGCACAGGCACAGCACAGCCCTGTCCCCATTTCACCAATCAGAAGAAGCCTAGAGAGTTGACAACTGTCAATCAAGGACCTCTCTGCCCAGCCAAAACCACATAAAAGAAGCCTCATAATGAGCATCCATGCCTGCCTGTCTTGTCTTAGGCAGGCCCGCTCTGCTGCTCTGTACTGAGTGCATTAAAACTGACTCTGCTTTCTTGACTTTGGTCTCTCATCTCACTCTGTCTGACTTCCCTGCAACACCAAGCCAAGTCCTTTCCTTCTTAACACATGGAACCAAATGTAAAATAAATTCTCCATGTAATTTTTTCTTAAGAGTGACCAAAATTCTCATTAGATTCTTAAAGGGATATATAACCCTATGTGGGCACAGATAGATTTAAAAACAACTGACGTACAAGATACTGAAACATGGAAATTTAATGTGTGTTTATCTGAGTTGTATTTTAAGTCTGTGTGGGTAAAATTACAATATTTCCAGAATCTCCATGTGCAATATTTCCACATTCTCTCACCTGGCCTTAGTGCATCTCCAAAACAATAGGTGTTTCTAAGGAGTGGAGAGAAGTAGTCCATCTCTATATCAATAAGTGATTACAAGGGAAACAAAGGCAGATCTGGACCAGAGAGGTTTGGTGGGGCCCCTTTTGCAGCCGGTTGCAAGAGACATGGTAAGCAGAAGTAGAGAACTGCTTGTAAGCAATAAATGGTTTCTCCCACTTTATTTCTCCCTTTGGCTGATTTTGGCTTTAAAGGTTATTTGCCCCAGGAGGGGAACATATTTTCCCATTGTAGTTACCGTCTGGCATAGTGTAAAACCCAGATGGTTAGAAGGATTTCACCAGGACATTATCATATTGGTTAGTAACATGGGGCTCAAGAAAGCAAACAAGACCCAACATGATGACAGGACCTGAGACAGGAACCATGGGCTTAGGCAGAGTAGGGTGAGGGCCTCCAGAGAAAAGCAGAGCAAGATAATTACAGTCAGAACAATGTAACAATATGCAAAGAAGTCCCTATCAAAACTCTGTGTTAAGCATTATGCAAAGTCAGAGTCACACTAATTCTCTAGGGTAAAGATTTATATACATGACTAGGAATATAGACATTCTTTAGTGAAATTGCTTAAAGCTCACAAGGCCAGGAGCAACTTGGCTTGGAATGTTTGAGTGTTCTGCAGATAAAGAAAAGTATCTCAGCATAAACCATCATTTTGTTGTATCAATTACATCATGACAATGTAAATTTTACTTTATCCTGCTAAAAGACCCAGTTTATTTTAATTGTAACTATGTGCTATTTTCCATTCTCTAATCATAATCAAGTAATCTGCAACCTAGGCAAAATACTACTTTGGCAAGCAATCTCAACTATAAACAACCCAAGCAAACAGACAACAACCCAGACCACCTTGTGGGCAGGGCAGGCGGTTTTACAAGTCTGCACCCCTAACCCTTTACCCTCATTCCTGAAAATCCTCAACCGCGCATAAAACCCCTAGACAATGAGCCAACCACGGACTCTCTTGTCCCCTCCTGGCCTGAGCTGGGAGCTCTGTTCTCTCACTTCATCTCTAAATAAAAGCCTGTACCTTGCTCTCCTACCTTGAGTGTTTGTGAAGCTCATTCGGCTTCAAGAACCCCGGCATTAACCAGAGCTGGTAAAAAGAATAGTTAAATGAAAATGACTTCAGAGAGGTGAAGCAAGAGCTGAAGGTCAGTGATAAATGCAAGTTCTTTTATATCCAAGGGAGCTCTTTTTAGCAGTAGGAAATTCAGACAGCAACTTATATTTGGACTGTATGGATCCGACACAACAAATGTAGCAGAAAAGCGGACCATGGAACAGGACACATGGTCCAGATAAAGTGCGGAGGCTGTAGAATCAGATAGAATAAGTGGTTACATCTAAGGAAAAGGAAACATAATAGCAGCCCCAAGTGTTATGGAGAGCTATGGTCTAGAAAAGCGAGGAAGAAAAGATGCAGAAGGCTATAGCTGAAGGAAACATAGGTCCTTAAAAAGGTGCATTATGAAGGGCATTCAATCCTACATGTAACTAGCAATGAATGAAACTCAGAGGTCATATGTGGAATCCCCTCATATGTTTGGCTCAGGGAAGATGAAGGTTCAGCTGGAAACTCAATCCCAAATTCAATCAACAGACTCTAGATAAACTTTGCTCTATGTTGGTCTAGTCCCAGTACCCCAACATGTTTCCTTATGATATAATTTAATGGAAGATTAAACAGAGTTTAATTAAATGAGCTCTGAGCAAAATGCCTCATATGGTAGGAAGTGAATAAGTATTTTGAAATTAATATGTTCATAGTAAGAAAAGAATTTAATGCTGCAAAATACCTCAGAACTTATTGTTTAATAAATTAATTTCATTCAAATTATTAGCAAGCAATACAATTTAGACTAAACATAGACCTCAGCTTTCAGATACACAGATTCTACTGCAGAGACAGAATTTGTAACTTTTCCTTAAATACTTGAGGATAAAAGATGAAGTTCTATATTTAAACCAGAGGGTTTTTTTTGCATACACACAACAAAAATAGCTATTTCTGTATGTTTTACCATCAGAATTATCTCAGGAAAGTATTTTGTTGTTCAAGCCACAATTGAGTCTGTTCACTACAATTAGGCTGTGATGATACACTACAGAGAGGCATTTGATGATAATCACAAGAAAAAATATTTATGGCATCTTTCAAATATACAGCGAACATCTTCAGGGAGAAAATTTTATTCTTTTTTTGTACACAGAAGCAACTTGGTAGAGCTTGTTTGAATGAATAAATCAATGAGGGATTAATGCAGCAGTGTACCAGGGACACAGGTGCTGTTTACTTGCCTCCTTAATTGCCTGTGTGTTTGTGCAAGCTGCCATTTATTCGCTCTTCCTTGAATGGTGCAAGATCTCCCTAAATGGTTTGGATACCTTTACTTTTCATCTTTCTAATCCATTCCTCACAGAGTAGCAAGGATGATCTGTTTGAAATGCATATCTTATAATGTCACTTCTACTATCTTAGCTGGTAACACTTGGGCCCCTAATATTTAGGACAACCTCCACATTCTATGTCTGATGTACAAGTCATTGAGTGTATTAAAATATTTCTTGTACTAAACTCCTCCTTATAAGCTATAATCCAGGCATGGTGGTGACTTTTTCCCCCCAAATCTAGAAGTTTCCATTATTGCTTTGAACACGTTCTTTATACATTTTGTCCTCTCAGAAATTTAACACACTATTTGACACCTTACCTTATCTATTTAAGCTTTACTTAGTCTTTGTTTAGCACTTTAAGAATACTC